AGTCCATGGTACATTCAATACTCTTCTCCAGCACCACAGCTCAAAGGTGTCAATTCTCCTTCTATCCTCCCTAGTCATTGTCCAACTCTCTGATGCGTATAATGAGAATGTTAGAACACACCTGTGATTCTCAGTTATGGCTGCACAGACAAATCATTTGGGGAGCCTAAAGCGTTCACTCCTGGGCTCCATGGCCAGACAATCAGAATCTCTTGATGACATTACTTGATGATACTGTGTTTAATCTCTTGGATGAATTTGATTCTCAGTGAGAGCTGAGAACCACAAAACAGGATGATCTCGAAGTCCCTTCTGTTTCTCACATTCTAAGAGTCTTCTCTGCTAAAATTAGCCTTGCCTGTTCCTCACCAAGTAGAGCTGGAGAGGAGAGAGACATCTGCATTATTTCGAGCTCTCTGGGTTTTAATTTCGGCTGCTCTACGTGGGCAACCGGAGCTGAGACCTGAGTCAGCAGCAGGTGAATCAGATCACCGTGTGTCACGTCCTGGAGCTGCTGGTCCAGCCCCTATGGAGGGGGCAGCTGGGGTCGTTCTGGGCTGCAGCTTGGCTTTCAAAGGAAACAAGGTGTGGAATGGCTGCTGGGGATGACATGGTGATGGGCAGCATAGGACTCGCTGGTCTTGCCATCTGGATAAAGAGACGGAAGATGAACTTGATGCTTGGATGCCAGCCTCCTAGAACTTTCTTTCCAGAAAGGAGGTCAGAGAGAAGGAAACCATAAGGAACTTCCAGCGAGTAAAGAGGAGGGAGACCTGGGCTCCAGTGTGAGGCTTAGTATTCATTTCCTGGGTTGTGGTTATTACGTGCTGTCGTCAATCGTGATTCATAGTGACCTTAGGAACAACATATCTGGAAACTGCCCTATCCTAACTCTATACATATCACTTCCCCTGATGCGCCTTCATTTATTCACCTGGAAAGGGAATGCATTTGAGTGTAGACCTCTTAAGTTCTCATAGAACACAGCAATGAGTTACCACTTCTCATGTTTACATCCCCTTTGGTTTTTAGAGTAAACAAGGTGTTGGTGAACATGACTTAGCGAGGATGCTCAAGAGGAAGTGATTTCCCAGGGACGATCGAGTGAGGCCCCACCTGGCTCCTAAGTTAGTATCCTCACTCATATACCAGGTCACTAGCACTTCTAAAGGTTTAAAACGTGCCCTTGGCTTTAGAATTCTAAAGATAGATAACATGTATTCTAGGAGGGAATATGTCAACCGTTGGTATTGTTGCTAGGTGCCGTCCAGTGGACTACGATTCACAGCAACCCTGTGAACAACAGGTCAGAACCATGCACCATCCTGCGCCCACCTCAGCAGCCCTGATACGCTCGAGCCCGTTGTTTGAGTCACTCTGTCAACCCATCTTGCCGAGGGTCTTCTTCTCCACTGTGGTACTGGAGGTGAGAGCTGAACAGCCTAGGCACAGACTGCCCAAACACCAAGCAGGTCTGTTTTGGAGGAAGTGCAACCAGGATGGTCCTTAGAGGTGAGGATGGTGAAACCTTCTCTCTCATTCTGGGTGTGCTGTTAGGAAGGACCAGTCCTTGAAAAAAGACATCATGCTGGGAAAGGTGCAGAGTCAGAGACAGAATATGCCAACAGAGGCTTAAAGAGAAAGAAAACAATTTTGCAGCGCCTAGGAAATTGTTGTTATGTGCCAATGAATCAGAACCGACTCCTAGCTGACCATCCAGTGGGTTTTCAGAGGGAATAAATCACACTGGAGGAGACCTCGGATTTTTTGCCCACAGAGCAACTGGTGAATTCGAAGTGCATTCCTTTGGGTTGGAAGTCCAACTCCTTACCACTAGGCCACCAGAGCTGCTTCCTCATGAGAAATTAAGATTATGCACACCCATGTTTATCACGGCTTTTTTTCACAATAGCAAAGAGGTGGAAACAACTAAAGTGTCCATCAACAAATGAATGGATAGAGAAGCTGTGGTATATTTACACAATGGAATACTACGCTGCATTGAAAAACAAGGAACTCATGCAGTATTATTCAGAATGGGTGACCCTGGAGGACACAACTGTTGTAAAACGGGACTGACATCAGGATTGAGGGGAGACTGAGAAAGTAGGGATAAATAATGTGTACTGCAGTGAAACAGATGAGGGAGAGAACTGTTTAAAAGGGATATGTGATTAGGTATTATTGTCATGATGGGAGTCCAGAATGAAGGCTGCATAGTGGAGTGGACCTGCGGGGAGGGACTGTATAACAATGAAAGAATTTTCTTTTCAAAGAAAAGAGCAAATTGGGGGAGGGATGGGCAGGAAGAAAAATGCAACAATGAATGAATGGAAATCCAAAGTCTCTGTAAACTTTCATTAAAATTAATAATAATAATAAAAGAACAATCCCCCCCCCAAAAAAAATTTTTTTTTAAAAAGGAAGAAACAAATGGAAGGAGGAAGCAGGGAGGAAGGGAAGAAGGAAGGGTCTGAGGTGAAACTCCCACTGGTGAGCAGACGCCTGCCAGTCTGCAGACAGCACACCACACCTCTGGCCAGGCCTTGGCACCAAGTCAAAACTCCCCTCTCGCTTGGTTTGCACGCCCACATCACTAGGAGTGAGAGATGGGAGAAAGCGGCACATCACACAGCCTACCGCTTCGTTCCTTGTAGATGCTGGCAAGGCTGAATTTAGAACCAGAAAATTGACTTAAAAAAAAAAAGTCTAGATCTTCACCCAAAACTCAAAAAGAACTATTTTTGAGCTTTGAAAAAGAACATCGAGTTCTCTTTCCTGGCTCTGCCTTGGCAGGGTTCATGAAGTCTGTAATCCCAGTTAGGAGGCAGAGATAACAGGGCTCATCCCAGCTTCTCCAGGGCCAGTGGCCTGGGCTGACTGGGGCAGAGGGAAGTTGCTTCTCCTGCATCCTGAGAAAGGTGGGAGAAGCTGGTGCTTGTCCTGGACAGGAGAGCGGCTAGATAGTTCTAGATAAGCCAAAGCCTGGCCCTCCCAGAATCCCAGGACAGGGGCCTGAGGACACAGGCAAGCCCAAGCCAAAGGGTGGCCTGGCTAAGATGGCCAACGGTGGGTCTTCTTTGCCTGTACCCAATGTTGGCTTGTCTAAAAACCAAGGTGAGCACATATTCCTTGAATTTATCTACTTCTCTGTAGTGAACAAATGCACTTCTTTTTCCACATCAAAGGGTTCTGATTCTAGGGTAGCTGGCATCTGTCTCTCTCCCAACACCCACAGCACCTTCCCATAGAATCAAAACCCCTTTTCAAATTTACCATCCCTGACAAAGAAGGCATAACCAGTAGGCAAGAGAAGCATAGC